TTAACTGCATTCTCTTTACACTAATGTACTTTGAGTTAAGCACCTAAGTGCTTAAGAACTGTTATATGTCCCAGTAGGTGCCTTTCCACGTACTTGTACGTCTAAATATCTTTGTAAATTGGTCTTTCAGTTTTATTGTAATAGGAGAACTTGGTGCAAAAACTAGCGCGCCAGAATTTTTTGTTTCCAATTGCTTAAATGCTGGCATTGCTCTGACAAGGCTTTAAAAAAAGCATTTTGAGCATTGGAATGCAAATTAACATACCAAGCAATTAAAGTCAATTAAAACAGGATGCAGTGTAATTAGATACAGTTGTGTTCACATTTAGATTCAGAGAGGTCTGATGGGTTGAAAGAGAAGAAAACAATTCAGGAAACTTTTAATGCCTACAGATGTGATGCTGATACTAATAAGGGCATTTGATTTCTAAAATGCCCCATCCTTCCTCACCTCAGAAGCCCTTTAGAAGCATGATAAAATGAGCAACTGATGCACTGGATGTAATGGAAGTAAGTGGCTCAGCATTCTGGGAGATGGGAATGCCACCTATGAGTGGTGGCCTCTCTCCTTGCTGAACACAACACACAAACCTCTTGCAGTGCAAGAGAAGCTTACACGTTTATCAGCCTCATTAGCTGTATGAGCACCAACCAATGTATTGACAGAAACAGCAATTAGCTCAGGAGGGGTGGGTATAGCTTCCCAAACATGCTTCCTTGCTATATCTGCAGTTGTTCTGAATTTCTGCATTGGTATCTATTGCCAGAAATACTGAGCCAATTGCACTCTATTTGTATCCTCTTTCTGCATGATAACCAGAAAGGAAGGAGACTCCTCAGTCCTCTAAAGCTAAGGCACAACTACCCTCATGCTAAAAAATCACACTAGAGGTTGTGGTTCGGTACTTGCAGAGATGTTGATAGGTGTGGATGGGCTGTGGAAGGCATTTGGAAATATGTGAAGTGTGACTCTACAAGCCTGGACAGCTGCTGTGGGATTATAGAGCTGCTGAGGGAACTGGGATTGCTTAGCCTGGAGAAAAGGAGGCTCAGGGGAGACCTTCTCACTCTCCAAAACTCCCTGGAAGGAGGCTGGAGACAGGTGGGGTTTGGTCTCCTCTTGGAAGGAACAAGTGACAGGAGAAGAGGAAATAGCCTCAAGTTGTGCCAGGGGAGGTTTAGGTTTGGCCTGAGGAAAAATTTCTTCCATGAAAGGGTTGTCAATGCCTGCCCCAGGCTGCCCAGGGCAGTGATGGAGTCCCCATCCCTGGAGGTTTTTCAAAGCCATGGAGTTGTGGTGCTGAGGGACATGGGTTAGTGGGGACCTGGCAGTGCTGGGGTAACATTTGGATTGATGATTTTGCCAAAATGATTCTACTGCACAAGTGTACCTTTATCTGACCTCCCTTGGATGGTAGAGATGAGTGGTTTCAGCTCTTCCTTGATGGAGCTGGGTGAGGAAATCTACCCAAATGAACTTGGGAAGAAATCTGCCTCTACAAAATTGCAATCTGTTTACTGATGTAAAACATTTCAAGGCAGTGGTAAGATGTGCCAGATAGCAGGCTGCAAACTAGTATGGCTAATGAAGTCAAATGTTATTTTTTGTTGTTATAAGAGACATTCAGGTGCTATATCTTCATTGTCATCAGATGTGTGTCTGCTGACTCTCCTCTATTGAAAGCAACTCTTGATTTAAAAGAAGTAGTGAAAAATACCTGGCAAAGAATAAGCTGCAGAAACATGAAAAACAGTGGCTGGCTCCTCCATCCTTTCTGTCCAGTATTAAGACTTGGAGCAGGACCATGTCCATTTCATGTATTTCTTTTTTAAATCTTATTAACTGATGATCCATTTTTATTTGAAAGCTTAATGTGGAGAGTATTCTCTTTGATACAAGGTCTATTTGAACTCAGCCTGTCATAGTAGTTCATATTTCCACTAATAGTTTCTTATAATAAATGTAAGCACTGCGATAAAGCTTTCTGTTTTGCTTTTTATTAACCTAGAAATCCATCAATTCAAGCTTCTGAGACCTTTAGGAATATAATGGTTGTCTCCATTTCCTAGGAAAATCATGGATTGTATTTTTAAAAGTGCTAAGACACCTGAAAGATACATAGATGCTTTCCTCCTGTTACGGTCAGTAAGAGCAGAATGTCTAACTATATCTTGGGCAGCTGGACATGTTTGAAGATCTGCCATGTGATTTTAAGATCTTTAAGGTCCTCCATTTGTGAGCATACCAGAGGCACACATGAGATGATCTCATGTTTGAGGTTAAATGCTCAGCATGGTCTGAAAATCAAATTTCAATTCATTAGCCCTGAAAATGCATTTGAGAATCTTTCCTGGCTGCATTCTCTGATGTATCTCTCTCATTTACATAGGCATGAGACAGATAATGAACTTTTGAATTTAAAATGCGTATTTTTGAGGGCTGTACTTTTCACCAAATAATTTCCCCCTTCTTGCAGCTTGTTAAGTAGTTTTGGCTTGTGCAAGGCAGATGTTGAAGAGTATTATCTAATATTACGGTATTTTGTACCTACTCTGTACAGGCAGAAATGGCTATAGAGAATTATGGAGAGTTAAGTTTAAGGGATCTCAGTATTTATAGGAGATATTTATAGTGACATGGAATTTATCCTTTAATGCACCTACAAGTTTCAATAGCGATGTACTTCTCTCAGGCTTGTGATTTTAAAATGGGATCAACTCTGTTTCATTTTTCCTTTGGAGAACATGACTTCTTGCAGATTTCCAGAATAGCTCAGTTGCTCCTCATGCACAGAATATATGTGAAAACAGAAATTGGTGGACCTGAGCACTTCATTGATTTTGCCTGAAGGTGCTTTGCATGATATGAATACTCTAGAAAATCATAAGGAGATATACACAGATTTAACCTTTAGGCTTGATGAAATGTTTATTGCTCAAACAGACAGGTAGGGAGGCAAAGCAGTCCTAGGAGATGAAAGAATCACAACATGGCTGGGGTTGGAAGAGACCTCTGGAGATCACCTTGTCCAACCTCCCTACTAAGGCAGGATCTCCCAGAGCATGTTGCCCAGGATCACATCCAGGTGGGTTTGGAATCTCTCCAGAGGAGGAGACTCCATAACCTCTCTAGGCAGCCTGCTCCAGGGCTCCATCATCCTCATAGGAAAGTTTTTTTTTTCTCCTGTTCAGATGGAACCTCCTGGGTTCTGGTTTGTGCCCGTTGCCCGTTGTCCTGTCACTGGGCACCACTGAGAAGAGTCTGCCCCCATCCTCTTGCCCCCTGGCCTTTAGCTCTTGATCAACATTGATCAGATCCCCTCTGAGTCTTCTCCAGGCTGAACAGCCCCAGGGCTCTCAGCCTGTCCTGGGGACAGAGATGCTCCAATCTCCTGAGCATCTTCATAACCTCCACTGGACTCTCTCCAGTAGTTCCCTGTTTCTCTTGAACTGAGGAACCCAGCACTGGACACAGTGCTCCAGATGTGGCCTGACTAGGACTTTGAAAGAGCATGGGGTATCATGTACAGGCTCACCTGTCACAAAGAGAAAGAGTAAATAATATACTTAAAAAAAACTACTCAGTCTCTCTGAAAAAAAGTTATTGACCTTTCATTTTTCCTCCAGAAAAAGATTTGTCTTTTATCTAATAGCAAAATGGATGTGGAAATGGGGTGGTTTTGTTGCAGTTGGGAGAAAATATTTTTCTAATGATTGCTTCTTCTTGCTAGGTTGTATATGTAACAGCCACGTTCCCCTATATCATGTTGATGATTCTTCTGATTCGTGGAGTAACGTTACCAGGTGCTTCCGAAGGGATAAAATTCTACTTGTACCCTGACCTTTCTCGACTGTCTGACCCACAGGTAGGATCATGGTTCATGTCTTTATTTTCCTCTCTGACTGTGAAAAACTGCAAGTTTCTTCATTTTAAAGTTTGAATACAGGTAACCACTGGATAATTATTCGTCGTTAGAGATCTGGACTTGTGGATATGTCTTTAAAGCCATTGCTACCTCTATGTATTGGAATACGTTATTCTTTCAGCAGAAAAGTACCTTGGTTGATAAATCAGAATTTTTGAACGTGTTCAGTTGTGGTTGCTGCTCTTGCCCTTGATTCAATAGAAACAAATTTAACTGAGATTTATCCATTTTGTGGTATTTTGCTCAATCCAAATCTAAATCTCTGTCAAGATCAATAGAGAAATTAATCATTCAGATGATTGTTGTCTTGAAAGCAAAAATAACTATATACAACGAAGGAGGAATGAAGTACCCAAACCTGGGACTCTGCCTTTTTTTTGTAGTTTCCAGACTAGAGGAAACATGGAAATACTGGATTAAGCTGATTTGCTTTTCAGTGACAGAAGAGTACAATAAAACAGTTATTCTAGATCGTTATGTCTGGTATCAAACAGGGAAAATGACACAAGCTCTGCTAAACCTGACAGGTTGCAGACAGCATTTTACTTATCTAGTTTGGCAATGTGAAAGACATTACACAGTGTTACTCCTAAGGCTATTACAGTATTAAGTGGATGCTGAGATGGAGATAGAAGGGAAATTTTGGAATTTTTGTCAAAATGAAGTTTTTTAAACAGCTTACAGAAAATATGTCAGCGTAATTTTTTTTTTTAATCCTTTGTTTACTGAAAATGTGTATTTTGTTGCAAAAGACAATAGAGAAGCCCTTCAGGTTATTTCATTAAAGTGTCTAAAATCACAGAATCATATAATGTTTTGGGTGGGGTGACATCTCAAAGATAATCTAGTTCTAGCCTCCCTGCCACAGGCAGGGACACCTCCCACTAGACCAGGTTGCTCAAAGCTACACCCAACCTGGTCTTGAACACATCCAGTGATGGAGCAGCCACAACTTCCTGGGCAACCTGTGCCAGTGTCTCACCACCCTCTAAATAATGTCATTTTTGATGGACTTTTAATTACCTTGCCACTTTTTGACTTCACAGTGTTTCCATCATCTTATGTCAGTGAGATGAGAAGCAAAAGCAAAGTTGTAGAAGTGGAGTTAGAACATCAGTGCTGTGCTATGGATTTCCAACAGCCAGGTTGCTTGGAGAAAGCCTCAGTTCACTGAGAACTTAGCACAGTGGCAGAGATAAACAGCAGCATTCTCTGGCACACACCCAGTTAAATGTTTGCAATGTGTAGTAGACTCTGATGATAGTAAGTATAGCAAGCCAGTCCAATTTCAAGTCAACCCCATGTGTCTTAACTCATTTTAGCAGACACAAGAAATATGGCTGTCATATGCTGATCTGAGAAAAGTGTGACATCTGTTTTTGTCCAGTTTTCGTAAGTGTTTCACCCCACTGTGTTGTTCTGATAACTGGTTAGCACCTGCCTTAACAAAAAGTATTCCTGGAGTACTCTTTTTTCTTTTACCACACTGTGATGATTCCTTCTGCTGCACAGAGGAGGGATGGACCCAGTATGAACGGAAGACAGTCCTGCAGCTCAGATGTTGATTCATCCACTTGCCCAGTGGCATGAGACAGATTCCTCTTAACAGGATTTTGCCCTGTATGTGGATTTTTCACATGCCACCAAAACCCGTGCTTCTGTTTATCATTGAAGGAGGGCATGTGAGCTTAAGCAACGGTATTGTCAGGCGACAAGGGGTTTTATATGCCTATTTACTATCCTGCTTCCACTTGTAAAGAAATACATTGTTGCCATGACAATTTCCAAAGCACATAGTATTAGTCTAAGCAGGCTGTGAAGTACAAAGCACTTGAAAGACACGTGTCCGTGTATCTGTTTGTCCCACACTTGTAGCTCAGCTGATCCTAGAATGTCTTTGGGGAAGGCTTAATGAATTGCTTTCAAGTCAACTTACTCCTCAGTCTCACTGAGACTTCAACTGACACACTGCTGTACTTCAGCCTTAGTGTTCTAACTACCTTCCACTAGGAAAGAAGCTGGAGTGGACCGTAACAGAGATTGTGAACATTCATATAGGTAATTTCATCAGAGTCTGCATGACAAAAAGGTCTTAGAGATTTATTTTTGTGTTTAAAAAAATGCTACTTCATTGAAATGGAAATATTTTGTTGAGACTAATCAATTCAGAATTTGAAGAAGTGTTTCTGAGTTATGGGATCTCTGGTCAGTTTTCAAGAAATAAAGGAAGTTTAACTTCACAGTCTGAAAAAGAGAATTTGGCATGGCTTATTTTATTAAAAAAGAAAAGTAAAATGAAATTGGTTAGGCTTTATTGGAACTTTTAGTGGTAACAAGGTAGATACATAGACATTTTCCATTTTGTGGCCATGTAGGACTAATAATATTCAAACCCAGAAATTCTTGCATCGGAAACCCTATTCGATAAGCCTCTTCTCAATTTGTTCTAGAGATTTTTGCCAAGAAGCAAATATGGGACAACTGAAGTAACCTTGATGTTTATGCTTTTTTTTTTTTTTTTTCATTTTTACTCTTGTTTATGTGGATTTACTCCACAATACCAAAGCAATAACACATGTGTACGACTAAAAGTTGTTTTCCTCTTCAGCTGGAAGACTGTTTCAATAATGTTCCAGGAAGACCACTGTGTCTGTATTAGGAGAGTAGTATCTGAACCACAGTGCCAACCATGTTTACTGTGGATTAAATAAATTAAGTTTCTCTTCAAGGCTCACTTCAGTTTGAAGTTCTTGAATCTTTTGTCTTTGTGTAATTTGCATTCCATGGTTCATTATAGCTTTCTAAGCAGCTATTCATCTGTCTTTTCAGTTCCTCTTAGCTTTCAAGTGCTGTGTTCTCTATTTCATTTTTATATTCTATCCTTTCAGCAGACTGAATCCTCTTGGTCTGAAAATGCCATCTTTTGTCCTGTGTATCTGTAGAGCTCGTACCAATGACTTTTTGTTATGATAGTGGAGTATCATAGTTAAGGTTCAGAAATGCTTTATCAGCAACAGTAAGGTCTCTCTTGCCTTCATGCTCAAATTGGCTCTAAATATGTCTCACAATCTGGAAGATACAGGTGCTGTTTATAGCTTAAATATGGGGTCTTCCCTGAGTTATAACTCACACAAAACAAGTATTTTACCAAGTCTATAGGATTGTCATTGTTTTTGTGTGCAAGTCTGACTCGGAATACAGTTCTGGTTGTCCTTCAACAGATTTAAATCATTTAATATATAATTGTACTTGTCTGTGGTACTCACTGCTTCTTTTGGCAAAAACATTTGGGTTTACATAATGGAATTTTTCCAACATTTGTGTATGGAAAAGGTTAAATTGATTAGGGACTATGAGATGTAACAGTTCGATGGATCAAGGAGCAATATTATGGCAAACGATCCAGAAAACACATGCATGTAAATTTAAACCCTGCTGTAGCAGTGGATTCTTAAAATGAGGAGAAAAACAAAAATAAAAATAAAAATAAGGCCTTGTTTATTATGTGCTTGTATGGTACTAACTGACTGAGTTACAGGGTTATTTTTATTTTTAAAAATATTACTTTAATCAAGGTATTAATTATAACATCGGGAGGGGTTAACATATCAACACAGTCAGAATTGTGTTCTCCTCTGAACACTTGGTGCTTTCCAAAATCTTGAACAAATGTAATTCATCTGGGTGTTGTGACTGAATTGCACATAAGTGTACATTTCTCTGTGGAATGAATATAGGTTGTACTTTATCTTTGATATGTGAATGTTAAGTACGATATATAAATGACAGGGCAAATTACATATAAAGTACAGGAAAACCTTGCCCATCACAGAACTCATTTTAAATTTCTCTGATCTTTTATTTGCAGTAGGAAAGTGTTAAAATTGCAATAAAATTCCTGATGGCAGAAAGGTTTCTATAATTCACCACTAGCAGCTCAGCTGTGAGAGTTCAACAACCAGTAGCTGTGACTGTGCAGGGCTTCCAAGTGTTTTCTGTAGGTGTTCTTGCAGTGGGTACACCTCCCAGTTTGAACATTCTGCCTGCTGGAAGAACTATTTACTTTGATCTTTGTGTCAAAAATGTCTTTCTTCCTACATTTTCCTGTGTGGCACTTAGGCTAAGTTTTCATGGACTGTGTGTTTATAGACAAAAAGAACATTTTGGTACATCAGATACCTGTCTTAGGGAAAACACGTTTTTTCTGGTAGAAAATCATTCAGAATAAATGCATGTTATTTTTTTTGCCTTGAAAACAGTGGTTTTCATTACATACTCCTTAATTTTCCAGATTAGCATGAGTCAATTTTGCTAGTTACTCGTTCCTGAATATCACCTTAGTATGTTTGACCGTATATGTAAAATCATACTTTTAAAAAATGCTACTCAGTTAAACTGTAAACAGGAGCTATCCAATTAGGCTAATTATAATATGCATACATGTGAGAGACATTTGGGAACTCTGTGTAGGTGTGGTGAGAACATTTTCTTAAATCCTATTCTGAAAATCCAAACTGGAAAAGTATTTGAGAATTTATCTTCCCTGAACTTCTTATTTCCAGTGTTTACTAGAGCAGAGTTGTTTAAGTGATGAGAGCTGCAGCAGTAATGCCACTTGGATTCTTTACCAAGAACTCTTCGTAGCAGGTGAAGAAAAGACTCAGATAGCTTCAGTTATAGTAAACGCAGCCTCGGGAGCAAGCAACTCTCACAATTGCACCGCCACCTTGAGGCAGAATGAAATGGATGTTTTCAAAAGCAAAAGAAAATAATTCCTATCTTTGACAGTGAAGGAAGCTGCTGTTTAAACAGAAGTGTTAAAGCTCTTCTTTAAAAAAAAAAAAAAATTGCAGATGATTTCACTTTTAGGTGGTTTCATGCTCAGAAAATCAAGGGGACTATGAATCAAGGGTTTCCTGAGCAGTGGATTTTAGACCAGT